AAGCTTGGAGGGAAATTCCTAAAGTTAAAATTTGGTCCAAAGAGTAAAACTGAAACTCGGAACGGGATTTCCAAGAGTTAAGATGGGACTTAGATTCAGCAGCTTGTTTTGGGCTCAGCATGCAACAGCACAGCAGAAAGAATGGCAGGTGCTTCAGCCAGCACCCCATTTTGGATGACCTCAAGCACCTTCTAAAGCTCCAAGGAAATTGTCACATTGATGGAACAAATCAGGGAGCCAAGGGGTAGCTCTCAGCCCAAACTTGGCTCAATTACAGCTTTCTCTCTTCCCTGAAAATGCTAACATGCCATCAGTCAGCATACGCCTGTGGGCAGACTGCAACAACAGGAGTGAGTTCGCTGTGGCACTGAGGTAGAGTAACATCAGACCCAACAAAGCCTATGAAGTCAGGTACGGCTGCGTTTATGCCATCCCTGGGTCCCAAAGCAGCTCAGTTAGCTCAGTGCAGCACAGTGCCAGGGATGCAGCAAGCGTGCCAGAGCCAGCTGGAGCACCTGGTAATCACCAGCTATGAGGAGCACCGAGCATCCATACGTGGGCAGGTCAGGCACTGGGCTTGGCAACACCAGCACCGAGCCGAGTTACCCCCTGCAGAGGGGTCCGTGTGTTGCAAGTCAGGCTTGCCAGCATGCCTAGAGAGGTGAGCAGGCCAGACGCTGTATCACAGGAAGATTAAGATTTAAGCTAGTGGTGTGTTCATCTCTGCTTCCCCCACTGTCTTTTCAACAATATATTTCGGAGAGGTGAGCAGGCCAGACACTGTATCACAGGAAAATTAAGATTAAGCTAGTGGTGTGTTCATCTCTCCTTCCCCCACTGTCTTTTCAACAATATATTTCCTCCTTTGCTGCACCACAGTATTTGTTGTCCTTTTAATGCCCCTGTCCAAACACAGTATCTTCCCAGATGTTCCTTATTCATTGTCTCACCCCAGCTCCTCATCAAGCTATGCATCAAAAGAACATGTCGGGGATTGTGCAAATCAAGCTCTT